TATCTAAGGGTGGAGATTGATTCTCTAGAATGCTCCACACACTCTAGGAGTCTCCATATTCTTCCACTCTCTTCCATATCCTTCCATACTCTTCCATAGGCTTCCGGAAGTTTCCACACATCTCTAGAATATTCTAGAGGATTCCACACTATTCCACAAGCTTCTAGAGAGTTCTAGACTTCTCTAGGATTCTCCGGAACGTTCTAGAAAATTCTATACTTCTCTAGAAAGCTCTAGAATTTTCTAGAACCTCTCCAATTAAGGAGAGATCCCAACAAATCTCCCCCTCGCGACTTAATTGGGGGGTAGTAGCAAACCTGCACCTTGACAGCAATCTTCGAACTTCTTTGTCGGTATTACCTTGGTCATCATGTCTGACCAGTTCTCGTCGGTGTGAACCTTGTCAAGATGCAATTTCTTTTCCTCGAGGACTTCTCGGATCCAGTGATACCTTGTGTCAATGTGCTTTGTGCGGGAATGAAATGTTGAGTTTTTCGCCAAGTAAATTGTGCTTTGATTATCACACTTCAACACGTACCTTTCTTGATCTATTCCCAGCTCGAGCAGAATGTTCTTCATCCACAACATCTCCTTGCAAGCTTCAGTAGCTGCGATGTACTCTGCCTCTGTGGTGGATAATGCAACACACTTTTGCAGCTTTGATTGCCAGGAAACAGCTCCCCCTGCAAAAGTAGTTAGGTAGCCCGATGTTGATTTCCTTGAATCAATATCACCGGCCAAGTCTGCATCTGTGTATCCTTCTAACACAGGTTTTCCTTTTCCAAAGCATAAACATCTTTTGGAAGTTCCTCGTAAATATCGGAGGATCCATTTGACCGCTACCCAATGTTCATTCCCAGGGTTGGCCAAGAAGCGACTGACGACTCCAACTGCATAGGCGATATCTGGTCTTGTGCATATCATTGCATACATGAGACTGCCTACTACCGATGAGTATGGAATCTTCTTCATTTCCTCCATTTCTTTCTCATTTGTTGGACTTTGCTTCGAACTCAACCTGAAGTGTCCAGCAAGTGGTGTGTTTACCGGCTTTGATTTGTTCATGTTGAATCGTTCCAACACTTTCTCAATGTACCTCTCTTGGGATATCCACAACAGTCTCTTCGATCTATCACGAGTTATTCTCATCCCAAGGATTTGTTTAGCCGGTCCCAAATCTTTCATGGCGAAACTCTTGCTTAGATCCCTTTTCAAGGCATCTATCTTTATGCGATCTTGTCCAATGATCAACATATCATCAACATAGAGTAGAAGTATGAGGAAGTCGCCACGTTCATACCTCTTTATGAAGACACAATGATCGCTTTTCGTCTTTGTAAAGTCATGCTCTGCCATGAAGGATTCAAACTTCTTGTACCATTGCCTCGGTGCTTGCTTGAGGCCATATAAACTCTTCATGAGGCGACATACTAGATTTTCCTTACCCGGAACTTTGAAACCCTCGGGCTGCTCCATGTAGATCTCTTCCTCTAGGTCGCCATGAAGGAATGCCGTCTTGACATCGAGTTGTTCAATCTCCAAATCTTGAACTGCTGCTAGGCCAAGGACAACTCGGATTGATGACATCTTTACCACGGGAGAGAATATTTCCTCAAAGTCGATGCCTTTTTCTTGACCGAATCCTTTGACCACCAACCGAGCTTTGTAGCGAGGCTTTGAGCTACTATCTTCAATTTTGATTCGATACACCCATTTATTCTTCAAGGCTCTTCTCCCTTTTGGTAGCTCCACAAGTTCATAAGTGTGATTCTCATGCAAGGATTGCATCTCTTCTTGCATGGCTTTTCTCCACTCTTCTTTGTGAATATTATTGATTGCTTCTTTGTAACTTTGCGGCTCCCCCTCATCCGTGAGTGTAATGTAGTCCTCAGTATTATACCAGATGGATGGTCTTCTCTCCCTAGAGGATCGCCTCGGCTCTGGTGCTGGCAGAGAACTAGATTGAGGATCTTCCTGATTTGATTCATCATGAGTCTCTTGGTTGCTTTGCTCATGGTTTTCATCATCATTATCTTGATGTGTTTCATCCTCGTGTCGAACTGGAGTTGGTTCGGTCCTCTTGTTGCTTCTCAATCTTGGTTTCTCCGAGTTTTTAATATCTTCAATCGTTTGGTCTTCGAAGAATACCACATCTCTGCTACGAACAACCTTCTTGTTGACGGGATCCCATAGCCGATAGCCAAATTCATCCCGTGGTGAACGAAGGTAGATACACTCCTTTGTCTTTGCATCAAGCTTTGCTCGCTCATCCTTGGGAATGTGAACAAATGCTCGGCACCCGAACACCTTAAGATGATTGTATGAAGCCTTTTTGCCCGTCCAGACTTCCTCTGGGATGGCGCCGTTCAAAGGAACCGATGGTGTGAGGTTGACAATGTCAACTACGGTCATTATAGCTTCTCCCCAAAATGATTTGGGTAACTTAGCATGAGAGAGCACACAACGAACTCTTTCTTCAATAGTTCTATTCATTCTCTCAGCTAGCCCATTCAGTTGTGGTGTCTTGGGTGGAGTCTTCTCTAGCCTAATGCCATATTTCTTGCAATAGGCTTCAAAGGGGCCTCTATACTCACCTCCATTGTCCGACCGTACACACTTGATCTTCCGGCCGGTCTCACGTTCTACCTGAGCGTGGAATTCCTTGAAGGCGTCAAGCACTTGATCCTTGGATTTTAACAGGTGCAACCACACCTTCCTTGAATGATCATCAATGAAGGTCACGAAGTACAATGCACCACCAATGGATCTCTCGGACATTGAGCACACATCAGTGTGTACAAGGTCGAGGATGTTCTTTCTCCTTGTGGGCGGAGAAGATCTTTGGAAAGCAACCCTATGTTGTTTTCCAGCTAAACAATGTGCACAAGGATCGAGTGAATTACCTTTCATGTCCGGGAGGAGATGCTTGCGAGCGAGTATGTGGAGTCCCTTCTCACCGATGTGTCCAAGTCGTTTGTGCCATACCTCCATGTCATCAGTGGTTAAATTTACTTCCCCTTTGCAGAGCTTGGCTTGCATCACGTACAATGAGCCTTCCTTCTTTCCTCGAGCCGTGACCAGACTTCCTTTGGTGAGCTTCCATTTTCCTTCACCAAAGTAGTTCATCAGACCAGCATCATCTAACTTTCCAGCAGAGATAAGATTGAGGCGCATGGCCGGGACATGCCTCACATCCTTGAGAACAAGCTTACATCCGGTGCTAGTTGTTAGGACGATGTCTCCTATCCCAACAATCTTGCTTCTATCTTGGTTTCCCATTTGAACCGTGCCAAAGTCACCGCTTTGGTAGGATGAGAAGAAACTTCCATGGGGAGTGACATGGAAGGAAGCACCAGAATCGACAATCCAAGAGCTGTCATCACAAGCAATGTTGAGAATATTACCTTCTCCAACAAGATATAGCAGATCTTCTTTTGCGACCACCGCAGTGGTACTCTTCTCTTCTTGCTTCTTTGTTGGGCTGACTTGGTCTGGTTTGACGTTACCGGCCTTTTGGTCTCTCTTGAGGGATCGACACTCCATTTTCCTATGGCCCAATCTTCCACAGTAGTAGCATGTGATCTTCGAGCGTGACTTGGATCTTCCTCGAGATTGATATGGATCTCGGCACTTACTGCGTCCACGAGTCTCATTCCTACCCAGGTTCTCAATAACATTGGCCTCAGGATGGATTGACTCACCTCGTTCCATTCTCCTTGCTTCTTCTCCAAGAAGACTATCACTGACGGTATCCATGGTTAGCTTTCCTTCCGGAGCTGAGTTACTAAGCGTAACCACGAGTGTGTCCCAACTTTCCGGCAAGGAACTCAGGAGTAGAAGGGCTTGCAACTCGTCATCAATCTTCATCTCAATTTTGGTTAATTGATTTACGAGCCCCTTGAAATTGTTAAGGTGTTCAATCATACTATGACCATCCTTATACTCCAACTTCACCAACCGTCGAACTAAATTGGCCTTATTACGAGGTGTCTTCTTTTGAATCATGGACTCAAGCTTAGTCCATAATTCATAAGCATTTGTGTAAGTAGAAACATGCTCGAAGAGAGATTTGTCTATGTACTTACGGATCATAGCAACGGCCTTGCGATTGAGTAGCTCCCACTGGGCATCACTCTTGCCTTCAACCTTCTCTTTGCAGATGATGGGCTCATGCAAATCCTTGCAGTATAAATGATCTTCCATCATCGGCTTCCAATATGAGTAGTTGTTGGCGGTGAGCTTGAACATGTCTCCATCATGAGCGACGTTATCCTCCATCTTGAACTGCACGAGCTAATGACGATCTCAGGTGAACCTGGCTCTGATACCACTGTTGGGAAAAAACACTCGGACTTTCCCGCTTCGTGAAGTTAAGATAGGCACTTAGGAAATAAGATAGCAATGGGAGCACACGATTTAAATTCTCCAATATGGAGATTCTTCCACTATACAAAAGAATAGTAGGGTATACAAGGATATTACAAAATTGTCTCACTCAATGGTGGCTCACTCAAGCTTGAGGATGATGTCTTCCCAAGCTATCTCTCTTCTTCTCTCAAAGAGGCTCTCTAACTTTCTCACTCTAGAAGTGGATTCACTCTTGCTAGGATGGTTAGGAATGAATCCCCCTACCCCTATTTATACTACTCCACCTTCACAATGAATGGTGGGGATGATTTCTATCTAAGGGTGGAGATTGATTCTCTAGAATGCTCCACACACTCTAGGAGTCTCCATATTCTTCCACTCTCTTCCATATCCTTCCATACTCTTCCATAGGCTTCCGGAAGTTTCCACACATCTCTAGAATATTCTAGAGGATTCCACACTATTCCACAAGCTTCTAGAGAGTTCTAGACTTCTCTAGGATTCTCCGGAACGTTCTAGAAAATTCTATACTTCTCTAGAAAGCTCTAGAATTTTCTAGAACCTCTCCAATTAAGGAGAGATCCCAACACATATCGCTGTCCAAACTGGCGTTGCACAAATTATAGCATGCACCGAAATGTTAGGTGTCCGGGTTTTTGTGGTGGCAGTACCACAGAAGAGAGGAAGCCCAAACGTTATGGCTTAAGTCAAAGTGGTGCCTTTTTGAAGGGAGAAATAGTATTCATAATCTCTGACGAGTTACAGATCAGGCCTGCCTCTCCTGCAGTTCTTGCTCAACTTATTCCTGACATGGGCTCAAGAGATTGGAGTAGTAGAATCAGGGAGATGTGTGTTCAAGTTTCCAAGGCTGAGGTACCCCACTTGTAATCTTTATCTGTGAAAATATTGGTACATTGAATTCATCTTGATAAATAGTCGTTATTTTAATATTGATAACCTGAAAGTTTTGGATAAACCAATTATTTGGTGGTTATTTAACCTATAAGTTTTCTCTTTGATTTCAAAATTTACTCTTAAATTTCCCTCGAGGTGATTTCTGATCTGGTTAAATCTTGTCTTGTCGGATCGATGCATAAGAGGGTGCGTGTAATACAATTTGGAATTTCTATTTGTTTTACAGGTCGTTGGAGTTCTTATTTGAATTATTGTTTCAATTGTTTACTAGTTTAGCTTTATGATATCCATTTACTTACAATATACATGTACAACATCCATATATAGTAAGGAAGTATGATGAATTCTCTTTGAGGCCTCTTTTCTCTCTCAATATGTAGTAGTTCATGTACATTAGCGTTATTCAAATTCCATCAAATTTATCACAGGTAATATGCTTGCTTGCACGTTCATTGGTTTCAGAGTCTCCAATAAGCGACGTCTTTCTGACTGATGTTCCTGCATATGGTACAGCGGGAATCCAAATGAAGCCATTGAAACTTGTTTCTACCTTTTCATCACCAGCTTCCGAGTCGCTTCAGAATGCTGAACAGAGTAATGATGCTAGCGTGAATCTTAAAGTGACATTGGTCAAGTCTACACAGGAGATATTGTTCGGTGAAGCGACAAATGAGTTCTTTGATTTCATGTGCAGCTTTCTGACCACTCCTATCGGATCAATGATGCGTGTTTTGGAAGGGCAATCGGGGCTAAAATGCATGGATAACTTGTACACTAGTGTGCTAGAGTTGGATCCGAACTGGTTTCATTCTTCAAATAAGTGTGGCTTACTCGAGCTTTGCATTGCGCAAGATCATAACTGCAAGAAGCAGCTTATCAAATCTTTCAACACCAAACATATACTCGAGCATCTCATAAGCTCAAGGTGGAGCAATAATTTTACTGTGGAACCATCAATGTTCTTGGTTCCAGATGATTTTGAAGTAAAGCCTCTTTCTGCTACTTCCAGTTTCCTCTTACTAAAGAAATTGGAAATTTCTTTCAGTCAGACTGAAGAGCGATGTGTCACTGTCGGTATGAAAGAGGTCATTAATAAAGCACTACTCAAACCCAGATACTTCTCTATTATTTACTTCGTATAATGCTTTCAATGCGTTTATATAAGTATGAACTTTTTTCAACAGGCCATAAGCTTACTGAAGGCTGCTCTGACATCAACATCATCTGCTCTTACAAAGGGATTAGGCCCCTTCTTGCAGAAGCACAGCCCCTAGCTGCAGTGCTGCACCATCTACTTACGCCCCAACGAAAATATCAGGGAGAACTTCAAGCTGTCTAAATAATGCTGCGAAAGTTCAGTTATATTTATCTAGTTTTTTCATTATCTCAACTCTCAAGAATGTTATTCAAGTTTATCTTTGTTCGGGGTATAGTTCTGTACTTTATAGTTTATACCCAACTTTGTTTTGGTTTCCTATAATCCTATATTTAAAAGTGCACTTAGTTTCTTCAGTATTGTCTTCCTTTATTCTAAAAAAATAATGGCCTCAAATACAGAAACCACCAATATAATTTCTCAATTTAATGCATTTTTAAATTTTATGTTTAGCAGAGGGGTGATGCAACATGCAATACAAACATTTTTTTAGACTTGGACAGTGTGGCTCATTACAGACCAATCATGAATTCTATACCATTGTTATCAAGTGAGTTTAACTAATTTTGATGCCATGTAGAAATTTGAAATTTCCTAATAAATGGTCATCCTTATGGAAGAACTAAAGAAAAGTCTTATATGCAAGTTCGCGTTTTTGTATGTCCGATGTGATGACTACCGGTAAAAGGATAGACAGCATGGTACATTATTTTTTGTAAACATATGCAAAACAAATTTCAGGCATATTTAAAGTTTGAAACCCATTTAAAATAATAATAGTAATTGATATAATTTGTGTTTTTATAGGAGAGCCCCACATGGATATATCAAAAGGTGGAAGTTGAGTTTGTGTTTTTTGTTGAACTAATTAATTGATTATATTTTATCTTTTAAAATTGGATGGTTTAGTCAAACTGGGTTTATGCCTTCATTATCGTGGAATACACAAGAGTTCATTCATTTTCTCCATACATAATAATACAGCATATGACATCATTTATTTCACAAACTAAAAGTGGATGTCTACTACTGCAAGTTTTATTTCTCTATAGCCTGAGAATTTTAGCCAGCTTGAATGATCTTTAATGTCGCTTTTCATGCCTCTGGCAGAAAGATTTAAACCTTTCAATACCATCCTCTAGAGCAGACGGTTCTATGGCAAAACTGAACCGAAGCCAATTCTTCACTCCAACTACAACCCCTGCATAAACAAATGCATTTTACTCACACAGTACTCCATATAAGTTAAAGGAGGCTATTCTTTCTGTGTTTTCTTTACCAGGGACAATTATAACAGATTAACAGACTCTTCTTTTGCTAGCTTGAAGCAGAAATCCACATCATCATCAATGTCTTCTAGTGCTGACGTGTTCAACTGAACCTGCGATCACCGCGTTGTCCACAAACCATACTGATCACCTTTTCTCTATTATTAGGGAGTATGAAACAGTGGCGGATTTATGTCTCAATATTTCAGAGCTACAAAATATTTAACGGTCATTAAGGGTAAAGAAGTCAACTGAAAAATGGGGTTCCATTTTTAATAACAATGTACCACATCTTTTGCATAGAGTGTATTGACATAAACTAAGGGTACCAACCGTGATTCATAATTATAATGTTGTTAGATGCATGTATGCCAGAGTATACAATCCGAGTATGAGTGCGGCATATAGAATTGAAAGAGACATTAAAAAACAAGAAATTGAAAAGCTTAAATCTATAAATAACATAAAAAGGCAACTGATATAATTTTAAAAGAACAATTATATATAGCTCTTTAATATACTTTGACATGATTCATACATCATCTTGATTTAAAACAAAAATAAGTAGGTAAAAACAACACATAAGATGGAACATATATAAAAGTGATTAATAATAATGGAATTGTAGTTAGAATTGTTAGTTAAATATGTTTTGTATTATTATTGTTATGGTGGTTATGATTGTTATTATATTATTACTACTACTACTAATACTATTTTATTTTAATTTTTTTTAATAACGATTCCATGCACATATTTTTTATAGGAACCAAGAACCAAACCGTTAACAACTAATACATCATTTGTAGGAACCGGACCGAAACGGGTTATAACGGTTCGGTTCCAATCGGTTCTATGGTTCCCGGTTCCAAAATCCCACCCCTAGGTTTTGGTTTGGGAGATAATACTCCATAAATATTTAATGTATATGTCGGATTGGGTTTCAGAATTGCAATGAGCTTTTACCAAGCTGAAATAAAAAGGGAATTTTTCACAAATAAGCTAAAAAGAGGAAATAATATCACTTTTTTCACTTTTGAAAAGGGAAAATGGAAACTAATAATCCAACCTTTTAGTGGTCTTCTTTCAATAATCCCACCTTTTGATTATTCATGAATAATCCAACCTTTGCACCTCATCTTCATTCATTGGTCTCTGGTCGGTTAATGACCTACTATTCCAAGTTATTTTCTTATCTTTGCAAAATATTATCTTTGTGAAAGATGAGATTTATGGTATAATGATTTGCAAAGATAAGAAAATAGCTTGGAATAGCAGGTCATCAACCGGTCAGGGACCAGTGAATGAAGATGAGGTGCAAAGGTTGGATTATTCATGAATAACCAAAAGGTTGGATTATTGTAAGAAGACCGCTAAAAGGTTGGATTATTAATTTCCATTTTCCCCTTTTGAAAACACTTTTCAAAAATAGTCTAGCTAACTTTTGTTTTCAAAAATAGATCATCTACGTAGGCAGCCTCCTGGAATCTACACTCAAAGAAACGTGTGCAGGCACTACGCTACTCATTTTACCCCTCTCTATACAAACTCCAAAAAATACTCAAATCATATTCTTAAATAGAAAAATTTTATACGTTTAGTAAAATGTAAACATGATTAGATAATTAGAAAATAATAAAATTATTAAAAATAAGAAGAAACAAATTAAGAAAGTACGGAGTAATCAAATTAAGAAAAAATAAATTATGCATAATAAAAATATCTAAGTTGAAAATTTCTGAGTTAAATTTAAAAAAACGGAATTTTAATTTAAAAAAATAAATCTCTAAACCGTTAATAAACCTTCAAAAAAATTGGAAATACAAAACTCAAAAGAAAAAATGTGAAAGATCTACACAAAACTAAAACGTTGAAAAATTGTAATTTTATTGTTTAGAAGACTTTATATACCCTTTAATTTGTATAAAATGTACGTATAAAACAATAAAAATATAAATAATTGAAATTTTTATAAAATTAATATGACTCATAAAAAGAAATATACAAATGGTAAAGAAAAAAGAAAAAATAAAAAAATTGCACACAGAATGAAATAATGAAATTAAACTCTAAAATATCTAGAATCTTATAAACGAATAAAAATTTATAGAAAACTGTTTTTGAAAATATTAAAATTTATAATAGGTAATCAAAACTTTTAAGAATCAGTTATTATTTCGAAACTGAAATATATACAAATTACAAAAAAAAAACCTAAATTTTGTAAGAATGTATATAAATATTTGAAACAAGTTAAAGAATAAAATGGTATAAAATAAAATATCGATGCAAAATTCTTTAAAAAAATTTAAAAAGTATAAAATTTAATTAAACTTAAAAGAATGAAAAATAAAAAACTAAAAACAAAGTGTGTATAGCAAAAATTAAAACGGAAAACAAAATTATGCACTAAAACAATTGAAAAAATTTAAAATTTAAATGTTGTAATTCATTTTTTTGTTTCTTTTTGTTGCCTACTGTTTCTTTTTGTTGAATATTGTTTCTTTTTGTTGATAAATCTTATTTTTTATTTTATTTTATTTTTTATTGTTTCATTATGTATCATGCAGTTGGTTTATATTCATAAATCCAAATTTATCATTTTAGGTGTATGTATATAAATCTATTTAGTTATTTTTATTTCAAGGAAGGAGCAAAGATAAATAAAAATTTAAATAAGCATTAAAAAACAAAAATCAATAATAAAGCATCAATAAGAAACACCATGCAACAAAAATCAACACATTGCAACAATCTGCAACACAATGCAACAATAAGAAACACATAAAATGCAAGAAAAAGAAACAAAAAATAACATATCAAATATCACAACAAATACATAGTTCAATCTTTTATTTCACTTTGAACTTATCATTTTCACTTATCCTTAGCCACTATCAAATTCCGCATTTGTTGTTTCTCCAAAAATAGGATGAAAGCTCTTAACTAAAGCTTCCACACCTTGAGTTAGGACCTAGGAGAGATGTTGGGTACATGTTCAAAATCTATAATTAATAAAGCAACCTTGAATAAAAAAAATAGACATCTTCTTCGCTCGTGACCAAATTACAATTTCAAATCAGTCATATAAGCCACAAGACTTTTCCACATTCTTTCTGTCCTATGCAAACCATCCCAATGCATTCCTGCCCAACAATAAAATATGTATCTACTTTAGTGGCAGCATAAATGAGCATAAAGTTTTTAAGGGGGGAATTGGGAAATTGATCTGGTTAATTATGTCGTGTATAATTTTATATCTTGGAACCATAGATAGGGAAGGCAAATAATGCAAGCTGCCCAAGAAATTGCTGAAGGAAAACTAAATGATCATTTTCTATTGGTGATTTGGCAGACTGGGTGTCATACACAATGTAACATGAATGCTAATGAGGTTATAACTCATAACAAACAGAGCAGGTGAAATTCTTGGTCATACACTAGGTGCAAAAGCTATACTCCCAAATGATCATGTGAATAGATCACCGTCTTTCAACTACACATTTCCTATGGGTGATTGAATATTAAGAACATGCTACGAGATAAAACATGTCATACTAGCAGAACCTAATCCCTATAGCACGTAATAAGACTTAATTAGAAAATGGGAAAGTTCCCGAAATGGGACTAAAAAAGTTTGAAAATTCCAAAATAGGACTGTCATGTTTTTATTCCCAAAATAGGACTAATTACTGCCAAAGTTGGAAAATACTGCCATGTTTGAAGTCTGGTACTGCCAAAACATGACAGTAATTAGTCCTATTTTGGGAATAAAAACATGGAAGTCCTATTTTGGAATTTCCACACTTTTTTAGTCCCATTTTGGGTAATATCTCTTAGAAAATCTCTAAACCATCCTAGTAACCCTGAACTCCACATAAGACTCACTATAGAGTAACTATCTACTTGATATGAATGTCTGGCAGTAGCATAATATCAAGATAGGAATCCCTGATTCATTCAAACTTACATCCTACAATAGGATTTAAAGAGTGTTTGCAATAGCTTAAAAAAAAGCACTTCTCAGCTTTTGGCTTTAAAAAGCACTTATTTACCAAACACTTCCAATTTTTACTTTTTCTCGGCTTGCGTGTGAAAAGTGCTTTTCCCTTTTCTATTACACAAAAAGCACTTATTTTACCAAACACTACCAACTTTTACTTTTCAAAATCACTTTTTTCTCAAACACTATCAACTTTTACTACTAATCACTTTTTCATTATATCTCCAAAAGTGCTTTTTTTTAAGCAGAAGCAGTTGCAAACACTCCCTTAATCTGTCAAACAAAAGAATAAAGTTTCAACAATTCACCATATGACACAAAGCAACTATAGAAGAAAAATATGAATATGAAGTGCATAGCTCGTGTGGGTAAGGTAAATCGAACTACAAATATATTGTATGCAACTATTATTAATCAAGTAGTTCTTCCCCACTTTGAAGCTTCGAAGACCATATAAAGAAGGGAAGAGGAAGCAAAGCTACTTTTGGAAGCCTGAGTTCAGGTAAATACACTACCGCGTAGGGCAGAACATATGCTGGATATCACCACCTCCAATGCCATCTATGATGATAGTTACTCCTATTACAAGTTATAAGGTCATATAAGAAATGTGAGTTCACCAATCTACATAATACTTTGCCAATTTTCTAGAATCAATCATAACAATAACCTTCAATCATTTAATATAGCTTTAACTTAAACTAGATGAAAGCAAATAGCTGGTGAAATACAATTTGCAGATTCACATTCAAGTTTAAGATATACGGAGTAATTATATGCCTTCTAATTATCTAAACACTGTTAAGTTTGGTTAATTAGGAAATCGCATAAGGGTGAACTCGAAAGAGATGCGAACGACTTTTATAGCGTCTTACAAAATTTGGAGGTAAAAAGCAAATATATGAAAAGGAAAAATATGGTTTGATTTTCAGAAAATTGTTCGTCAATAACCTTACCGCTGCAATCGTTGGAATTACCGAATTGCTAGGCAATCGACTCATAGCTTCGTCTTCTCTTCCATGACGGGAGAAGCATCAATAGCGGCCAGACCTCTCAATTGTAGTTGTCGGAGGAGCGATTACAGATGTAGAGCCATCATTGTAGCAGATACGGAGATACCCTAAGCTTGTCATGTAAGTTTTCAAAAAAAAATTGTTCGTCGGCGAGACAGAGGAAGTAAATCTGCAGAATTCGTATTCGAGCTGCACCTTCTTTTCAAGTGTTTCTGCAGCAGAGAGGAGGAGAAGAAGTCTCGCTCGACAATGGAGTTTTGGGGCTGAATGGAAGTTAACGCTCGTGCAGGTTCTAATTTTAGCTGATAGGCTATTTTTGAAATAAAAAAGAATCAGTGAAAAGTTAAAAGTCTAGATATGAAAAAAAGTTTGTGGTGGGCTATAAAAGAAATACAATAGGCAATAGTGGCTAGAACGGGATATTTCCACAAATAAAAATGTGTATGTAATTCTTTAAAATGGTCCGAATTTTTGTTTGAAAACTTTATCAATTAACATACCTTGTTGTAATTCTTTTTAATATTACATTAGTTATATTATTGTATTCATATCAGTAAGTTAAGTATTTTATGCATTTATTGTCAAATAATGTCATTAAGAACCTAATTATTAATAATTATATTTTTGGACATAAAATGTTAATCAAAAAATTAAAAAAAAAAATCAGTGGCCGCATTAAAACATTATGGAGTATGATCTAACATTTTCGCTGGCTTTATTATTGGCGGTGAAGATGAAAAACAAATCGATCATACTGCCAATGTTATTTATAAGGAAGTGTTTCAAAATGTATAGACTACGGAAATCATATTATAATATTTATTTATTCCTTCTTAATCCCAAACATACTTCATACCAATTATGTATTACATCTATACTCTTTGCATACATTTACACATTATTAATAATTTTAATGAATACTCCCATAAATGTTATAGCTATTACTTAATCTATATCTCGTGCATTGCATGTGTGAGAATCTAGTAGTGACAAGAGGAGGAGGTGCGATTATTAAGAAAAATGAGTTTATGCGGTTGATATTGAATTTATAAAGTAAGAATAAAGTAAATATTATTTAGAATTACACAAATTTGTATTGGTATTGGACAATTTAATTGGACGGTCTGAAATGGAAAATGAGAGAATCTTAACAAGTCAAGGAGAGTACTATGTAAAAATGGTTAAAAAATTAAAAAAGTTATAATTATAAACAAAATACTTAAAATAATAAAAAACAAATTAAACTGTTTAATAATATAAAAGTAATTAGAAACTTTCATGAAAAAGTAATTGTTTTTAAAATTTTGAAAAAATGATATTAAAATATAAAAAATCAAATAAATACTCCATATATGAATTTCCAAAACATTCCAAAATTTTAAATTAAATCTAATATAATAATAAATATAAAAAGATGTGTTACATAAAATTATTTTTGTTTGGTATTTTTTGTTGGCAAAAGGTAACTTGTTTGGTAATACTACCTCCGTCCCTTAAAACTTTGCCAAAGTTGACCGGAACGGAGAATAATAAAGTAAAAACTGTGTGGTTGCGATTTTTGCAGAGGAGAGAGATCGAAATAACAGAAACCACAAAATATTGATTAAAAGAGAAATTGACAAAGTCTTTTGGGACATCCCAAAAATGAAAGATGGCAAACTTTGAAGGGACGGAGGGAGTATATATTATAGATAATTATAAAAATCATAATATTAATGCAGATTAAAATAGTGTAAAATTAAAATAAACTGAGAGTAAAAAATATGAAAAACTAAAATAATGAAATTGAAAAAAGATTAAAATTAAAAATAAAATTAATGTTTCTTAGCGTGCATAAATTTTGAATTATTGTTATCATTTTATTTTTTAGGTTTTGTTGCCTATGGCTTCTTAGTGTTTCTTAGTGTTGAAAATTCTAAAATATATTTATTGTTCCTTTAAGTTTCTAGTTTTTTTTTTCATATTCATAACCGAAATTTAACATTTTAGGTGCTTGTATGATAAAAAAAAACATTTTAGGTGCTTGTATCGAAATCTATATAGATATTTCTATTTTAAGGATGTAGAAATCTAACACAAACAGCAAGAATATGAATAGACAAAACAATAATAACAAACACGTGGTGAACAAAAAGTAACAAGATGTAAAAAAATCCAATACATGTGGTACAACAAAACGCAGCAAAAATAATATGTACGGAGTATACAATAGTATCACAACAAATATACAATTTAATCTAATATAATATTTCAATTTACTACATTTATCTATTATGTGGTTGATAATGAGTTAATAAAGTGAGAATAAAGCAAGAATGAATTAGATTCACACAAATATTACCAAATATGATATGAGACATAATAATAGGGGGACATCCAAAAATGGAAAAATGAAACAATTATATATAGAGAGATGGAGGGAGTATTAGTTTTAGGAATTAAAATATATTTTAAAAAATATAGAATCCGAGAGTATACAATCCGAGTATGAGTGTGGCATATAGAATTGAAAAGGACATTAAAAAACAAAAAATTGAAAAGCTTAAATCCATAAATAACATAAAAAGAAAGGGAAAAATAATTAAAATACCCCAAACTTTGAAGGGGTGTGGGGTAAGCACCCCAAACTAGCATATGTAATTTAAATACCCCAAACTTTATATAAAAAGTTATTTTAGCACCATGGTCATATATTATTTCTTTAAAAAATGTTAGTTTTTGGTGTTAATTTCATAAATTAGAATATTTTAGCATTCATGAAGATACAATTGACTTTGTAAATTTCCATTATATAATAAATAATATTACCCTTACTCTATATAATTGCATCATTTTTAATTTGCTATTTTAAATCATGCAATTAACACCATAAATCTACATTTTTGAAAGAAATAATATATGGCCATGGTGCTAAAATAACTTTTATATAAAGTTTGGGGTATTTAAATTACATATGAAAGTTTGGGGTGTTTATCTCACACTTTTTCAAAGTTTGGGGTATTTTAATTATTTTTCCCAAAAAGGAAACTGATATAATTTTAAAAGCACAATTATATATAGCTCGTTAATATACTTTGACATGATACATACATCATCTTGATTTAAAACATAAATAAGTAGGTAAAAACAACACATAAGATGGAACATATATAAAACTGATAAATAATAACCCTGATCTTCTTTTAAAAAAAATATCCCTGATCAGGAAGGTAAGTAGAAACCTTTAGGACAAACACAACCGATCTTCCTTGGATTGGGATCCTCTGCCCGACTAGGACGGTGCCTTGCGCATCGGACGGTCGGGCAGTAGCAAAGCAGGCCTCGAGATTAGCGAAAAAGTGGAGCCCAAGATCTCCGACCGTTGAATTGTTGATCGGACGACCCGGAAGAAGCAAGGCACCCTACCTTACTTTAAAGTAAGGTAGAGGCTCCGGATCCATCTTCCTTAGCTTACCATCCTCTGCTCATACCTAACATGGCGGCATGGCGCCCCTCTTCCGTTTGATAAGTGGGAATTCCCACATGTAATAACCGTCACATTAGGTCCAAATTTGGGGACAGTGCCAGTGAGATTATTATTAGAAAGATCCACTTTAGTAAGGTAGGGCAGATGTGCAAGGGTTTGAGGGATAACACCACTAAGCTGATTGTTGGAAACATCCACTGTTTCAAGGTAGGGCAAGTCTGCAAGGGATGGAGGGATAACGCCAGTAAGCTGATTATAAGAAACATCCACTATTATAAGCTTGGGCAAACTTGCTAGGGATGGAGGGATAACGCCGCTAAGCTGATTATGAGAAACATCCACTATTGTAAGCTTGGGCAAACTTGCTAGGGATGGAGGGATAACGCCGCTAAGCTGATTATAAGAAACATCCAGTATTGTAAGCTTGGGCAAACTTGCAAGGGACAGAGGGATAACGCCAGTAAGCTGATTATGAGAAACATCCAGATCCCGCAAGGATCGGAGGTTGGATAAGTCGGGTAGTTCTCCGAAAAGTTTGCAATTAGCGGCATAGAATTGCTCGAGGTTTAAAGAGTTCTTGAGACCCTGAGGGATCTCCCACATGGGAAGATGAGCGTTGTTGGATAGGTTAACGGATGTGAGGTTGGGCTTGTAGTGGAACAGACTTGGCGAGATTGAAGTGAACTGGTTATCCTCCAACGAGAGATACCCGACCGAGTCAGCAAAGTTGGGAATTGCCCCGACGAGGTTGTTGGAGGACGCAGAGAATTCGTCCAATTTGGTCAGGTTTTCAAGATTGGCTGGCAGGCTCCCGCTAGTAACCTTCTCATAAAAGCGGAGAACTGTAACCCGGGGAGGCCCCAGATCATCAACTACATCGCACTCCAGAATAGATATCCAGTTGCACGGATGGGCGTCAGACAAGTCAGACGACGTTTCGGGCTTGAAGGTCAGGCTACTTTTCAGCGCCTGCAATACGTCGTCATCAGGGGAGGGCCCGTACTGCGCCCTAACTACTGCAGCAATGGCGGCCGCCGCAAACAAAAGAAGCAATCCGAATGACGCCATAACTGTGATCTATTACCAATATCTTAGCTAAATAGCTAGCTTAGCTTCTGTGCGATCAGCCTGCAAGCTAGGTTACGTTATACAAATGAATGTTTCTTAGACTCTTAATTAGGTTGTTGGATTTGAATATAACTAATAAACTAGAGATCCATCGATGCCATATATATACATAGTAAACTACACTGCATTCGATGGCTTCTTGTTGAACTACTGATGTCGCTTTACCGCGTCAATCACGCACCATATACTAATATTACAGCTAGCTTAGCTATCCTTTCCAAAGTCTAAAGACTGAAACAAACGCAAGCGAATACGTAACTGAATGTATGTGCCATTTTCTTTAATTTGTACTTCCTCCCTCCCGTCAAATTATTGACTTTTCTAGGTCAATTAGAATCCACTTTGATCAATTATATTTTTTAATGTGAAATTATTTGGATTATGTAAATTATATATATCAAAGTATTCCTTATTCCAAATATTTTCAACAAAGTGTAAAATTTATAAATTATACGGAGTATACAAATATAATAATTAAAATCATTATCCAAAATTTGTAATCATTGACCAAGAATATTCAATATGACAAATCTTTTTAGAGATAGTATGCAGTAGTTTTGGTTTGACACAATTATTAATTAAGTGGTTGAAAAAATAAAAGTTTTTATTGAGATTTGAGTATAATAAAGTTAGAGAAATTTCCAAGGATATGACTAAAGCATATTGAGTTTCCCGAAATATGACTAGTTTCATTTTTAGACATTCGTAATTTCGTATGACTAAAAATTGAAGATCGAAAAAAAAAATCATCATATTAAAATGTTGAAGTACATAAATACGCTTATTAAAAAAGGCACATTTTGCACTAGTTTCGTGTCAAAATACTGCACTTTATGGCTGTGTTAATGCAAAACATTATGAAAATGCTTTTTGAAGCATTAATTACGAAAATGTTAAGAATTTATCGTTCTTTTTTCAATTTTAGATTTGATAACTTTAATTTTTTTTGTCTAATTAAATATAATGGAGCATGTAATTCATTGCTCTTTTGTAATGCTTCTTTGCGACTTGCGAGATTGTAATTCTAGCCCCTTGGGTTTTTAAATAGTAAGATATGCTATGGTCTAAACTATTAAGTGCATTATATTATATGGGTTTTTAATTAGATGTAAAACCTAAACTTATCAAATCTAAAAAAGAAAAAAAGAACTATAAATTCATAAATATTTCGTAATGCTTTAAAAAAAACATTTTCATAATTTCGTCAATTAACACGGGCATAAAGTGCAGTAAATGTCGTGCAGTAATACCTACATTAAGTGCATTATTTTTAGATGAAAGTAGTGCCAAAATATTATCTAATATTTTTCTTTTTGGCGGCCCACCCCAACCTTTGGTCCTGACTAATTAACCGATGAATATTGCCGCTACCCTCTCCAAAAACTAAAGACTGAAAAAAGGGAAACAAAGGGGAAGCGCATGCGTAACTGCATGCGTAACTGCGTGTATGACCTTCAAGTCTATTGACTATAATAATAGGCTAATAGCTAATCTTCAAATTTTACTTTTTAACTTACTATTACTAGATTTTGACGGAAAAAAACTTGGGATTAGTTCATGAATATTACTAATTAAAAGGTTTTGGATGAATATAAGAATTCTTTTAATATTTTCCCAAAAACATACCATCCGCTTGCATCATTTTAAAATCTGAGATGAAAAGGTCATATATACCTCTTCTGCCCCACTGGTTAATACGCATCAAGCTTGATAGTTGATACGCACGTATCAATCCCCCGGTAGCTCCAAGCCTCCAATACACTTCCCGGCGGAGTTCTAAAGATGCTCACAAGAAAATCAATAAAAGAGATGTTGACGTTTTTACACTTCATTTTAGTTACCTCATCCTTGTAGTTACCGTGACCATCTCCGGCAGCCAACTAATTACAGTGACCATCTCCGATAGCCACTAATTACAGTGACCATCTCCGGCGGCTAATTACAGTGACCATCTCCGGCGGTCAGTTACAGTGACCATCTCCGACGGCCAGTTACAGTGACCATCTCTGACGGTCAGTTACAATGACCACCTCCGGCGGCCAGTTACAGTGACCACCTCTGGCGGCCAGTTACAGTGACCACCTCCGGCGGCCAATTACAGTGACCACCTCCGGCGGCCAATTACTGTGTCCACCTCCGGCAGCTAGATACCGTGACCACCTCCAGCGGCCAGTTACAGTGAACACCTCCGGCAGCCAACTATAGTGACCACCTTCGGCGGCCAGTTACGGTGACCATCTCCGGCGGCCACTTACAGTGACTCCATCCGGCAGCCGGTTAAAGCACCACAGTTACACCGCCATCGTGCACCGCTGCGGCAACAATGACTACAGCCACCGGCCACTGCCGCCGGCAACAACGACAATGAATAACGGTAGTGACAGTTACCACATGCATTTTCGCCCAATTATAGTGCCAACAAACTACCAAAGTGACTTAATTTCTAATTGCACCGCCTGTCCGCCGCACTGGCACCACAACCCAACACCGTCGACACCGCGGCCGCCGCCTCCGTCGTGTGCCACTGCTCACCCCCAATCTTGTCATTACCAAACCAACCATAGCCAGACTCCAACCCACCAGCCACCAACGATGCCCATCGCGACCCCTTCTACCTCACATGGCCACAAAAAACTCACTACTGCCACCAGACCAACCATAGCTGTCGCCATGGATATGGATCTGGATTCGCCGTCATTCACAGCTTTCTTCATTCATTGTCTTTCCGGTCGGAATCGTCTGTGCCACAGATCGTCATCGTCTTCGTTGCTTCTGAATTCGTTGTCTTCGTCGTTGATTTCCAATCTATCAAGATCTACTCTGGTCGGTGAGACAAAAAAGAGAAGGTGCGACAGAAAAAAGAAGAAAGGGGAAAGAAGTGTGAGATGGCAAGGCGGCGGCGTAAATACGGCGGTGGCGCGCGATGTAGGTCCAGGTGCCGGGATCTGCGATGCAATGGAAATCGATGATTGCGGCTAGATATTGGAGATGGTCGATTGCATTTGGTAGCAGTGACGGGAGAATGAGCTTCAGTTAGGGTTTTTCAGTATGTATATGAGGGGCATTTCAGTCTGTTCATTTAAATTTAATCTCTTTTTTGTCCAAAGCAGATTCGGGTTCTATTTTGTCGATTTACAAGCTGGGAGTATTATGTATATCATTATTTCAAAAAACTTACTATTACTAGATCTACTAGTATAATATTAATTGGTGACAACCCCGATACCAATCTAAAAACAGGCGTACCGTATCTAGCATTCATTTAATTGGATCACATCACTTTATCAATTTTAATTTAGATTTAAATAATTCAATTTATAAATTATACGGAGTATACAAATATAATAATTAAAATCATTATCCAAAATTTGTAATCATTGACCAAGAATATTCAATATGACAAATCTTTTTAGAGATAGTATGCCGTAGTTTTGGTTTGACACAATTATTAATTAAGTGGTTGAAAAAATAAAAGTTTTTATTGAGATTTGAGTATAATAAAGTTAGAGAAATTTCCCAGGATATGACTAAAGCATATTGAGTTTCCCGAAATATGACTAGTTTCATTTTTAGACATTCGTATGACTAAAAATTGAAGATCGAAAAAAAAAATCATCATATTAAAATGTTGAAGTACATAAATACGCTTATTAAAAAAGGCACATTTTGCACTAGTTTCGTGTCAAAATACTGCACTTTATGGCTGTGTTAATGCAGAACATTATGAAAATGCTTTTTGAAGCATTAATTACGAAAATGATAAGAATTTATCGTTCTTTTTTCAATTTTAGATTTGATAACTTTAATTTTTTTTGTCTAATTAAATATAATGGAGCATGTAATTCATTGCTCTTTTGTAATGCTTCTTTGCGACTTGCGAGATTGTAATTCTAGCCCCTTGGGTTTTTAAATAGTAAGATATGCTATGGTCTAAACTATAAAGTGCATTATATTTAAGTGCATTATATTATATGGGTTTTTAATTAGATGTAAAACCTAAACTTATCAAATCTAAATATCATTCCTTATTCCAAATATTTTCAACAAAGTGTAAAATTTATAAATTATACGGAGTATACAAATATAATAATTAAAATCATTATCCAAAATTTGTAATCATTGACCAAGAATATTCAATATGACAAATCTTTTTAGAGATAGTATGCCGTAGTTTTGGTTTGACACAATTATTAATTAAGTGGTTGAAAAAATAAAAGTTTTTATTGAGATTTGAGTATAATAAAGTTAGAGAAATTTCCCAGGATATGACTAAAGCATATTGAGTTTCCCGAAATATGACTAGTTTCATTTTTAGACATTCGTATGACTAAAAATTGAAGATCGAAAAAAAAATCATCATATTAAAATGTTGAAGTACATAAATACGCTTATTAAAAAAGGCACATTTTGCACTAGTTTCGTGTCAAAATACTGCACTTTATGGCTGTGTTAATGCAGAACATTATGAAAATGCTTTTTGAAGCATTAATTACGAAAATGTTAAGAATTTATCGTTCTTTTTTCAATTTTAGATTTGATAACTTTAATTTTTTTTGTCTAATTAAATATAATGGAGCATGTAATTCATTGCTCTTTTGTAATGCTTCTTTGCGACTTGCGAGATTGTAATTCTAGCCCCTTGGGTTTTTAAATAGTAAGATATGCTATGGTCTAAACTATAAAGTGCATTATATTTAAGTGCATTATATTATATGGGTTTTTAATTAGATGTAAAACCTAAACTTATCAAATCTAAAAAAGAAAAAAAGAACTATAAATTCATAAATATTTCGTAATGCTTTAAAAAAAACATTTTCATAATTTCGTCAATTAACACGGGCATAAAGTGCAGTAAATGTCATGCAGTAATACCTACATTAAGTGCATTATTTTTAGATGAAAGTAGTGCCAAAATATTATCTAATATTTTTCTTTTTGGCGGCCCACCCCAACCTTTGGTCCTGACTACGCCCCTGGGCTAGCTTGCTGAATTGATATCACCATACCGTGTGAATCACGCACTATACTAATTAACCGATGAATATTGCCGCTACCCTCTCCAAAAAC